TTCACATCTGCACTAGAAAAAGTGGAATCTTGGATATTTTCTCGTATAGTCGAGTCAGTATGGTGGCAGGTAAGTTGCATTTGTTGTTCACACTGTATTGATGAAGTTGATAAATATCTTTTAAAGCATGGTATGAATTTAATTAAAGCATTTTGGTTTAAGATCTCTGAAATACAAGCGGTGGTGATTAATAATGACTTGCTTCTTTTCACTCAGGCAGTGACTCCATACATGCAGTCTCCGGATGAGGGTTCTACAAAAATGGTTGGAAAGTTGTTGGGACCAGCCCTGGGTGATCAGCAGCAAGGAAGCTTTTCCATCAACCTGTGGAAAGCTGCCTTCCAAGATGCTTTTCAACGTATTTGTCCTGTTAGGGCCGGAGGGCATGAGTGTGGTTGCTTGTCAGCTTTGGCAAGAATGGTAGGCAGTTATGTTTGTTCTCACTTCTGATACTTCAGTTTCTGTGTCATGTGCACAGCCATATGCAACATAATATAAGTTGAAGCCAGAATGTTGATCACTGATCTTTGAATTTTAAGCAAATTATGATGTATCCTATCTTTGTTTCCTTGATTCTGTTTCTATGAGCTAATTGGATAAAACTTCTTCATTAGGTCATGGAACAATGTGTTTCTAGGCTAGATGTGGCAATGTTCAATGCCATTCTGCGGGAGTCAGCCCATGAGATCCCAACTGATCCTGTATCTGATCCTATAGTAGATTCCAAGGTTTTACCTATTCCGGCTGGAGATTTGAGTTTTGGATCTGGTGCACAACTAAAAAATTCGGTATTTTATGTATTCCTTGCAATTTTCTCGAGTTCCTTAATCCATACAAGTATTGCCTGTGAGAATCTTACTACATCACCTAATTGGGGTTTGCCTTCGCACCTTGTGACCAATATTCTGCAATTGGCTACAAATGGTAGTGGCTTTATGATAAATATATTCTTCACCTATATAATTAAAAATAGTGTACAGAATAGCAAACTTCTTAAGTACATGTTTTATCTCCACCCTTCTCATGAATGAATCAGTGTGTGAACACTTAAATGTGAATAGCATTCTCTTTTTCCCTTCATCATCATACCTGTATAGCTATATCAAACAGTGAAGAAAGAACATTCTAGCTAGCATGATGGTTTGGTTCATGCTTCTTGATTGTAAAATAAAGATGAACAAAAAGGGTTAGGTGTGTTCGTACTCTGTCTAATTGTGTAACCCATTGCACGGTCTTTAACATCTTCAGGGTTTTATATGAAAATATTATATTTGAAATGTTTTTAAGGGAGAGGCTTCTCTATATGCAGGTTGGCAACTGGTCTAGATGGCTTGCTGATAAGGTTGGCATGGATGCTGGTGATTCTCAAGAAGAAGAGCATAACAATGATGATGATTTCACACATGGTGGAGAGGGAGAATCTAAATCCTTTGTCCTTCTTAATGAACTTAGTGATCTTTTGATGCTTCCAAAGGACATGCTAATGGATCGTTCTATCAGAATGGAGGTTGATTAATGGAGTTCATATTATTCATTTCTTAATATGTTACTCTTTTGGCCTGCTCTAAATGGTTAAATTGCTATGTTTTTATCTTGTTGATAAATGCTACATTACTAAGTTGATTGAATATCTCTTATCATGTTTTCAGGTGTGTCCTTCAATTAGTCTTTCATTGGTTAAACGGATACTTTGCAACTTTACACCAGATGAGTTTTGTCCAGATGCTGTTCCAGGTGCTGTACTGGAGGCACTTAATGCTGAGGTATGACTCTTTGTTGAAAAGTGCAATCATTCATCAGATTGCCCATGAACTATATAATGGTTTTCTCACAAAAATGCTGTTTCTCTACCCTTTTCTTTATTCTTGAAATGTCTAATCTATAACTTTTACAACTCGCACAATTCTTGTTTTGGCTTTTGGAATTTCTTCCAATGGAAAGATGAATCCTGTTAAACTTTATAGAGGGTAAAAGGTATTTGCAAAAATCATTACCTTGTTGATGGAATCATCAGTATTGCCTATGATATGCTCGACTTTTCATACATTATGAGACTGGTTTTTTTTACGCTTCTAAGTATGAAAAGCTGTACCGATAAGCCTTTGTGGGTTGGTTGTTTCATTTGCTGAAGAGTTTTGTTGAGCGGAGGATATCTGGAGAGTCAGCTAGAAGCTTCCCTTATACGGCGGCCCCAGTCGTATATACCCCTCCTTCCACTGCAGATGTTGCCAAAAAGGTTGCAGAGGCAGGTGAGAGATCTCAACTTTCTCGGAATGTATCTATGATACAGAGGAAAGGATATACCAGCGATGAAGAACTGGAAGAATTGGATTCTCCTCTTGCATCCATTGTTGATAAATTGCCCCCATCACCGACCATCATGGCCAATGGAAAAGTAAATGGAAAACATGACCATGCCAGTCACGGTGGTGGAAATATACGGTTTGAACTCCTCCGCGAGGTGTGGTCTTTCTGAGTTCTCTTGGGTGTATACCTTTGGTCTTTTCTAGCAAATGAAAATATTGAGAAATTTTCCTTTATAGTTTAAGTTCTAGGAATTCTCAAACGTGGCCAAGTGGCTTTCTTGTATAGCTGAGAGAGCTTGTGATAAATGTTCCATTTATTCTATAAAATAAGTTGTTTTTTCATGAACCAAATTATGTTCCATACTCAACGCAGAATTACACTTCATCTTTAATTACTTTTTTTTTTGGTGAAAAAAAGAAGAGAAATTTCCAAAACATGTAGCAACTCTTAAAACTTAAAGAACCAAAAATTGTGCAATTTTGTAGAGTTTATTAATTTCTAATTAGAACTGTAAAATATTAATTATTAGATTAGATAGAGGAACTAGAACTTATTATTAGGGGTTTTTAATAATTCAATAATTAATGTTTTACGGTTTGTCAAAGTTTAAATAGCAAAATATTTTTTTTTTTTTTTTTTATTTTGTATGTTGCCTAAGAATATCACTTTCACCTACATGCCTCAAGGCATGCGTCACTATGAGTTTTTTCCCCTCCTAATTCCACCATTTGTCCTCTTCACATTGATATTAGTCCTACAACAATGAAAGAGAGTATTAAACCAGCTATATGTTGAAATTTATACTTTTGGTTAACTTGTATGTATCAGATTATATTTACTTTTACGATTTGATTAAAAATAAATTAAATAATTTCATGAGTGACTTTAACCTAACAAAAATGGTTCATTGCTTAGGCATGAGAAAGCATTGAGGAGAGAAGATTTTTTATTCACCATGCTACCAAATGGGTATACTACCAAGTACCAACTGAGATGATGAAAAGAGAGGATTTATGGAATTTGGGTTAGGTGTGTGATAGAAATTTTTGTAAACTAGGCTGATCTTGATAACGCATTATTGTGGCAATTTGAAAAAGCTGTATCCATTCTCATGATTGCCATTGGGAGATGATTTTTTTTTTTTTAATTACTGGGACTACTTGTTTGTTGAGCCAGTAGAGTTCTCCATTATATTCTGTTTAACCAAGTTTCATTTAAGTGTCGTGTTTCCAAAATTGATAGATAAGAAGGACAGTGCACTACAACAATTTTACAAATAATCTTGCCATACAATCTAATACATTGGAGGCTAGTGGATTTGTTTCAAGGAATTATCAACCTTGGCCAAGGTTATATCTTGATCTTAAGGCTCAGGTTCTTGAACTTTGGTGTCGAACCATGTACTGACACAACAAACACCATGCATATTAGGGAACCAACAGCCTGCATCAGAATATGACCAAACATATATATACGTTGTCATCTTTCATATGAGACTTGGAGATAGAGATGGCAATTTTTTCCATAAGGACCATGACTCATGGGGTTTCTGTGAGGATTCCCGTTGCAAAAATAGAAATTCTCAAAATATTTTTCTTTGTAAGGTGAGGATGGAAGCAATTTTTTGTTTACAAAATTTCAAAGGAAATTTTTCTTGCCTTGTAGGAATTAAATTAATAAAAAAATTCTAAATTATACTTTTATAAGTTATAATAAACTTAAATATCTTAATTCTTAAACCCGCAAACACTTTAACTCTCACATTTCTCCCTTCTACTATCTTTTTTTTTTTTTTGGTACATACCCCTCTACTATCTTAGTTTCTCCTCACTTTTTTTATTCGGTGAGTTTCTTTAATTTGCATTTAATTTACTTTATTTATTTTTCTTTTAGCCAGACATTTAACCTACTTTATTTATTTATTTTTGTGAGGCAAAGGTTATATTATTTTATTCATTTTCTAGAAAAAAAATACTTAAAAATAACGCATTTTTTCTAAAATAATTTTGGACCTTTTTCTTCTTAGTTTAAAAATTAAATGAATCAAAATATTTTTATATATAACTAATATCAACTATACCAGATAGCTATACCAGATACTAGCTACCAGATTTTAGTTATACTAGAAAACAGATATATTCCAGATATCGAGAAGCTTAATTCTTCAAATATTTCTGTTACCATTATTTTACACTTTAGTTTAGCTAAGTTTGGTATTTTACTCATATATAAACTTGTAATTGTACATATTGTTTAAGTAATACAAAAATAAATCTTTCATATTTTATCATGGTATCAGAGCAAGTTTCAATCCTGTGTGTTTCATCTTTTACTCCATTTGCTTTTTTCTAAGTACTCAACATGTCTGGCGGAGAAGATTTACCTAAAAAGCCTACAACCCCTAAGGACACATTCAACAGTGAAACAAATTCATCTAACTCTCCATTTTATTTGCACCATTCAGATAGTCTTGGAACAGTGCTAGTCATGCAACCATTAACAGGTGATAATTATCCTGCATGGAACCGAGCAATGACCATGGCACTTGAAGCTAAGAACAAGCTAGGATTTGTTGATGGAACATTCAATGAACTAGCATCAAATTCTACCATGTTTATAGTTTGGAGCAGATGCAACAGTATGGTACCCTCATGGATTTTGAATGCACTTTCAAAAGACATAGCAAATAGTGTTGTGTTTATGAAGACTGCTTGTGATGTCTAGATCAATTTAAAAAATCAATTTTCTTAGTTCAATGCACCATGGATTTTTGAGATTCAAAGAGCAATTGTGAATCACTTGCAAAAGAATGATTTAGTCACAAAATATCATATAGTTTTGAAAGGATTATGGGATGAACTAGTAATTTATAATCCACATCCAGCTTGTACATGTGAGGCAGCAATGGAGATCAGTGCTTTAGATGAACGAAATCGGTTGATGCAATTTCTTATGGGCCTTAATGAATCTTATAGCAACTTGAGGAGTCAGATCTTTTTGATGAACCCATTGCCTATTGTTTCAAAGGCTCTATCTTTAATTCTTCAGGATGAGAGGCATAGATCTATTCGATATGTTTCCTCACTAGCATATCTAGAGCAGTCAGCCATGGCAGTTGTCAACACACAAGATTTTGCTCGTTCTAATCAACAGTTCAGGACTAGAAATGGAAGACCATTCTATCATTGTGACTTTTGTGGCCTAGATGGACATATAGAGACACGGTGTCGGAAGAAACAGGGGAATCAAAGTTTCCATACTTCTCATTACAAGGGAGAATTCAAAGAGCCTTAAACTCGGCAAAAGTTTAGCAACTTGAGACATAATCAAAATTCTCCAAAAAGCACCTCAAATCTTCATGTGGCAGCAGCAATTGACCAAGATGCATTAAGCTCAAACTAGAACCAGCCTTTCACTCAGGATCAAGTCAAGCAACTTCTTGCACTCATTCAACCAAGTACTCTCTATACCTCTAACCCTCTAGTCAACATGGCAAGTAATGATAGTAGTTTTTCTCATAAAAATTGGGTTGTTGACTCAGGTTGTACTACTCATGTCACAAGTAGTTTTTCTTGTTTACAAAATGCACAAACATATAAAGGTTTACCTGTTAAATTACCTAATGGAGAATATTCATTAGCCACCCATTTGGGATCTGTACAGTTCAATTCTTCTTTACATCTAGAAAATGTTCTTCATGTGCCTACCTTTAAGTTTAATCTCCTTTCTGTTAGTCAAATTACTAAGTCACTTAATTGTTCAGTTCTTTTTCTACCTACTGTTTGTGTATTCTAGGACCTAGTGACAAGGAAGGTGATTGGTTTAGCGAAGGAGCATGATGGACTTTATTATCTTGACATCAACAATAAAATGCCTCCAGCAATCTCCCTTGCTGCAATCTCTTTACCGTTGGATCTTTGGCATTGCAGGCTTGGACATCTTAGTCATAGTATTGCATCTCATTTTTCTCATCTAGATCAAAGTATTTCTTTTTCTAATAAATGTCATTATACAGTTTGCCCTTTGGCAAAACATACTCGTTTATCTTTTCCCACTAGTTCCATTTCAACGAGTGCTTGTTTTGATTTAACTCACTTAGATATTTGGGGACCATATTCAATTCCATCACTTACTGGAGCTCATTATTTCCTACTATTGTGGATGACTTTTCTAGGAATACTTGGGTCTTCTTAATGTAGCATAAGTCACAGACATTTTCTATCCTTTGAAATTTCTTTTCCATGGTGCAAACAAAGTTTAACTCTATTATACATCATGTTCGTAGTGACAATGGCACAAAATTTTTTAATCATGCAGTTATTGATTTTTTTACCTCACTTGGGGTTATTCATGAACATAGTTGTGTTGATACACCTCAACAAAATGGTGTTGTCGAGTGTAAGCATAGACATCTGTTAAATGTTGCTCGAGCTCTTCGATTTTAATCCAAACTTCCAGTTATATTCTAGGGAGAGTGTATTCTTGCTACAGCCTATCTTATTAATCGCACTCCATCCAAGGAACTTAATGGAAAAACTCCTTTCGAAGTGTTATTCTGTAAAGTTCCTTCTTATTCTCATTTGTGAGTGTTATTCTGTAAAGTTCCTTCTTATTCTCATTTGTGTGTGCTTGGATGTCTTTGTTTTGCACGAAACACCCACATTAAACACAAATTTGATGCTCGTGCTCATCCTAGTATTTTCATTGGGTATCCTTTTGGTCAGAAAGGTTATAAAATTTTATATCTTTCCACTCAACGAGTCTATGTGAGTAGAGATGTTGTCTTCCCTAAAAGTGTGTTTTCATCCATCTTTGTGACTAATGATGACAGGTATTTGCCTATTCCAATCCATGATCCAAATCTCATTAATTTAAATTTGTCTCCAAATAACACCCATGAACCGACAACCTCCCCATCTATCCCTTCACAAACACAAACACAAGAAGTTAGTGACAAGGCCTTTCTTAACCATTCTGACTTGAGTGCTAGCTCCAATACACCAAAGAACCATGTTCCTCCTTTAAGATGTTCTCAACGTCACATTAAACCACCATCCAAATATAAGGACTATCATTGCTTCAACGATCAAGATCAATTAGCTTCTACGTCTCCAGGTACAAATTTTCCTCTTGATAAATGTCTTTCTTATTCTAGGTTCACTTCTAAACATTGTGTTTTCCTTAGTTCTTTATCTTCTGCTATTGAACCCACTACTTTTAATCAATCTATAAAGTTTCCTGAATGGCAACAGGCTATGCAAGTTGAGCTTACTACTTTGGAAGACACAAACACCTAGTTTTTAGTCAGTTTACTAGCAGATCAAAGGCCTATTGGATGCAAATGGGTATTCAAAATTAAAAGAAAGTATGATGGTAGTATAGAAAGATACAAAGCTCATTTTGTTGCTAAGGGATTTACTCAAGTGGAAGGTGTTGATTACCATGATACATTTGCATCGGTTGCTAAACTAGTGACAGTGCGTGTTCTTTTAGCCATTGCAGCTATGAAATAGTGGTCTTTGCATCAATTAGCTGTCCAAAATGCATTCTTACATGGTGATTTATATGAAGCGGTTTACATGACTTTACCTCTAGGGCATCCTCGAAAGGGGAGAAAGATCTCATTTGCAAACTACATAAGTCTCTTTGTGGCTTGAAGTAGGCATCCCGCATGTGGTTTGCTAAATTTTCTACTTCTTTACTTGACATGGGGTTTCAACAATCATATGCAGATCACTCACTATTTTTTTTTTACCCGGGGTTTTGCCTCTGTTTATATTTTGGTGTATGTTGATGATATGATCATCACAGGGAACAATCCTCTTTTGATCACTGAAGTGAAGTAGTTCTTATTCAGTAAGTTTAACCTCAAGGACTTGGGTCATCTCAAATACTTCCTTGGCATTGAAGTTGCTCGTTCTTCCCAAGGTATTTATTTATGCCAATGAAAGTACACTCTTGATATGCTTACTAATGTTGGTTTTCTAGGCACCCGAACTGTTGATACTCCCATGGAACAGAATTTGAAACTTACCCCCACTGATGGTTCCTTATTGGAGGATCCTTCCATGTACCGGAGACTAGTTGGCCGGCTCATATATCTCACCATTACCCAACCGAACATTTGTTTTACTATCAATATATTAAGTCAATTTATGCAATTTCCTCGGCGACCTCATCTTGATGTTGCTCATCGCTTGCTTCATTACTTGAAGAAAATTGTTGGGCAAGGCCTTCTTCTTTCTTCTTGAAGTTCTCTTCAATTAAGAGCATTTTGTGACTCTGACTAGGCTCGTTGTGTAACAACTCGAGGTTCCACCACAGGTTATTTCATTCTTCTTGGTGATAGTACCATTTCATGGAAAAGCAAAAAGCAGGGTACTATGTCTCATTCCTCAGTAGAGGTAGAGTATCGGGCTATGGCCACAACCACTAGGGAGGTAGTTTGGCTGTGTGGCTTACTCTCCAATTTTGGCATCCATCTCTCTCATCCTACACCACTCTATTGTGATAATCAAGTTGCTCGTCATATTGCAGCAAATCCTGTGTTCCATGAGTAAACAAAGCATCTTGAAATTGACTGTCATATTGTTCGTGAGAAATTACTGGCTGGTGTTCTATGTCCATTGCCGATTTCTTCTTCCCGTCAACTTGCTGATATTTTGACCAAGGCATTGAATAAAGACAGTTTTCATTTTCTTCATGGCAAGCTGGGCATTCGTGATCTTTATGCTCCAACTTGAGGGGGAGTAATATTAGCTATACCAAATAGCTATACCAGATACCAGCTACCAGATTTAGTTATACCAAAAAACAGATATATTCCATATATCTAGGAGCTCAATTTTTCAAATATTTCTGTTACCATTATTTTAGGCTTTAGTTTAGTAAAATTTGGTATTTTACTTGTATATAAACTTGTAATTGTACAGATTGTTTAAGTAATACAAAAATAAATCTTCCATATTTTATCAATAACCAAATAAAAAAAATGTATATTTTCCCAAGGATTCCCCATAGTTGCTGCGGGGCTCCCTTATTTTTTGTGGGAATGGAGATGGAGGCCAAAAAATTTCCTCCTTCAAAAATCTCTAGAGAAATCTTCGTATTAGTTAATAGTGGGGGTGGCGATGAGGTCCCCGCTCCTATAGAGACTTGTTGCCATCTCTTCCCAAACAAGATGCAGCTGCCAACGTCGATGGTGGTTTTACCTTCTGCATTCCAATTGGACCTTTTTCTTTGTGAAAAATGTGCAAAACTTCTGTACTTCAATCATGAATCACACTTATGTACAAATTTATGTACATTTTTGTATAGTATAAGGAAGTATCGAGATTCATGATTTTCGGGTTAGATTATAATAGTGTAGTTTGGATAATAAATTTACTAAAAATGCCATTATTGAAATTATTAAAATGTCATTAATAAAATAAAAGAAGAGAAATT